GTAAAATCATCTGGCTTTAGACATAGTAAAATAATAAAGTAGCTAGGGCACATCCAGGCGCATTGCCACTTTAAGGGTTAATATATGTCAGATTTGCCAAGTCACCCAGGCAAATCAATTTTCACAAGCTGGTGGCCTGTTAGGTGGGCCTAACTGGAGTATTTGACACCGTACGGGGTTTTCTGAATTCTGAAATGACAAATAACATAGTTGCTGATAGTCACTTTAAGCAAAAGGGAGTCCTTTTCAGCACTGAAATGTTGTTCATGCCGATCACTTAATGCGAGGCCTAATGATGCAGACAAGGTGGATGTATATATGAAGTAAGTCTCATCCAATGCACTTACTTACCTGCATTTTCAACCTTTTCAATACTTCCTAACCTCAATGGTGAAGACAAAACCTGCACCCATAAGATTCACTTTCTTTTTTCATTCCACACTTGCAAAAACCTGGATCTTTCACACGTTTTGGGACATTACTCCGCGAACTTGAGGTGGTAGGCTTTGCAGATTTGTAGCCCTTTTCACGCAACCAAATGAGAGAGACATATTCGTGCATAAAAACCTGTTCCCACCTGTTCTGGTAATTAGAGTTTTTACAATACCTTGAAATGGAAATATGTTTGGCTTCTCTGCCGTCCATGGAATTTAAACCGAGACACATATTGTATTTTGCTTTCGTCTCTTTTGCATGAGTGAGCACAATTTGTCCTAAAGTCCAAACTATAGGATGATGGTCGAAAAGGATATAGTTCAGGGTAAAGTATATCTTACAATGGGTCCCCAGCTCCAGCAGTTGTTGGTCGCTTATTTTAATTCGACTGAAAAGCGAAACACATTCACGCAGAGTCAAACAAAAATATGCCAAAACATGATAAGTATGTTCTTTGCGGGACCCCTGTTTTGCACTTGGTTAAACAGCATCGATTAAATACATGAAATTTTTTAAGAATAATCTGGAATCTTTTCCAGTAAAACGATAATCAAATGCTTTACCATTTGCCCCAGTTTCGTTGAACCTTCTCACAATCATATTTGCAAGGCGAGAAAGTTTACATTTTGTTTTCATTGCATTAACATTTTGTTTTCATTGCAAAGGGTGAACTACCAGGAATTTTGGAAAATATTGTCTCTGTTAAATTTGAATGACTACTCACTTCATTCAAAAGATACCTATGGGCATGAGCACAAGCATTGTTTTTTAAATGCAAAGGGTCTACATGAGCACGGTCTACAATGTTCCCTAATAAAGGTTCAAATTCCTGTCTGCTCTTTCTCTCGGCAATGAAACTTGTTACTTTATGCCGTTTGGTGGTATCGGACAACGTTGTCTTAGAAATTTTTTTCTTTAACTGCTCAACAGACTTAACAACTTTCATCCTATCTGAATATTCCCATGGCTTCCATGTGTTTTTGGCCTCCCTACCAAATGTACCATGAATATTTTCAGCAATAATTCAGAATATTTTCAGCATCAGCAAATGACGAGAAGTATTTCGCACTATTACTTAATTCCCCTGCCAAAAATGCTATCATTTTCATATCGTTCGTGAGTTCACCGATTGAAAATCTTACCATTACCTGTTTACCATCATGAGTGCAGCTTATTGGTTCCTTCTCAAGGGAATATATATCAGTTAGAAGCAACTTAATAAACCGTTGAGCAGGAATACAGTTTTCACTGCAGTTTGCCCCAAAAAGTAAATAATTCTGGTTGCTGCTTAATACCCCTCTCTCGATATTTAGAAAACTAATCAACCATGCACATGAAGTGTCATCCTTTCCAAATGGTGCGCCATCACCTCCAAGATAAATAACAAATGTATAAGGTGCACCAAACCAGTTAAACAAATGACCGCTACATCCTGACAGATAGAACTCTGCCAGTTTAACTACCATCTCCTTGAGACTTCGATAACATCCACGTACTTTGTCACTTTCAATTCATCCAGTCCATCGCAAAGTGTGTCGTAAACATTAAAAATTGTAGCCAAATCTATGGATTTAACATAGGGCATTAAACGGTTATAGGGGACAAGCCTTGGCAAAGGGCAATTATGAATGGATAGCCGTACGCGTTTACTATTACTGCTATCTACATTCCCTTGTAGAAACAAACACTATTTAATTGCTATTTAATTCCTATTTTATTGGGCTATTTAATTCCTATTTATCAAAGTATTTATTTCCTATTTTCACTATTATTTTTTTTCGAGGTTTTTCCTATTTAAATTAGGGCAGAAAAGCTATTTTTTTCCTATCCAAGTGGAACCATATTTTTTTCCTATTCATGATATATTTCTAAACAAATACTTAATTGATGTACTCGAATAGAAATTAAATAGGTTTCAAATATAATAAAAATAGAGCTAGTTAAGGAAATTATTAAAAATATTTAGTTTCGACATAGTTAATAAATATGTATGAAATAGTTAAAACATAGTGACAATATAGGTAAAAAATATGTAATAAATAGGTGAAATGTGCTTGAACAAAGTTTAAAATAGTCAATAAATAGTTCAAAAATAGTGATAATATAGTTTAAAAGTAGATAATAAATAGTTCAAAAATAGTGAGATTATAGTTTAAAAATAGATAATAAATAGTTCAAAAATAGTGATAATATAGTTTAAAAATAGATAATAAATAGTTCAAAAATAGTGATATTATAGTTTAAAAATAGATAATAAATAGTTCAAAAATAGTGATAATATAGTTTAAAAATAGATAATAAATAGTTCAAAAATAGTGATATTATAGTTTAAAAATAGATAAATAGTTAAAAAATAGTGATAATATAGTTTAAAAATAGATAATAAATCGTTCAAAAATAGTGATAATATAGTTTAAAAATAGATAATACATAGTTCAAAAATAGTGATAATATAGTTTAAAATGGTTAATAAATAGTTCAAAAATAGTGATAATATAGTTTAAAAATAGATAATGCATAGCTCAAAAATAGTGATAATATAGTTTAAAAATAGATAATACATAGTTCAAAAATAGTGATAATATAGCTTAAAAATAGATAATAAATAGTTAAAATACATCGCAGCTTGTTAAAAATAGCTAATAAATAGTGGATATAATATTGCCCAAATAGATTAAAAATAGTAATAACATATTAAATAAATAGTTAAAATATGTCCTGTTAATACAATTAGAATAGTTATTAAATATAGTGTATACAAATACATATAGCCTATAAATATTTTTAAAATATATTATAAATACCAGTAGTTAAAACATAGATAATAAAAAGTTAAAACATATAATGTAAATAGTCTTTAAATAAAATATAATTAGTAAAAGAAATTGAGAACAAGTGTAGAAGTGCTGAAACATCAGAGGCTATTACAGACCTACTTTAGTATTCATCGTCTATAAATGCCAGACAATTTTACTTATCAGTAGTTAGAGGTCTGTCAATAAATGAGTTAAAAATCTGTAGTTAGCAGTCTCTATGGTAGCCAAAGAGTTAAGTATACTGTATACATACAGTAACTTGGCTGGGGACTGGGCAGAAGAAAAGCAAGAACATCATGTAACATCAAGAATAGGGCGAAGCTCGGCTGCAGCTAAGCTTAGAAAAAATACTATGATACTACTAATACAATAATACCCTGAATCTAGCTGGATATTTTTCAACTATCCAACATATATCCTGTATGTAGCTGGATAGCAAAAACATTCTATCTTGCACACCCCTACAAAGAACTTCAAGTAGGTAACATAAGAGGAAATGCAACAGGATTCATGTGTGATGTGTGTCAACGGCCCTGTGCGAGCCGAGCGGGTTTGGTGGCTCATGGGAGAGTTCATAGACGGTGACCCAACCCCCGACGAAAAAGGACATCTTCGAAATCGAATAGTCATCCATTAGGTAATAATTATTTA